CAAGTCATCTACTGTCTCCTCTTGTGTCTCCTTTTGTGTCTGCTGCTCTTGCTGCTGCTGCTGCTGCTGTGCATGCAGCAACAGCTAACTGTCCTTATATATGTTTCTTGTATCTGTGTTGCGGGGTACAAGGAAGACGTCTGTTTCTGTTGCTGCTTCTGTTGCTGCTTCTGTTGCTGCTGCTTCTGTTGCTGCTTCTGCTGCTGCTTCTGCTGCTGCTGCTGCTGTGCTGCTGTCTTCCTGCTGCTCCTCCTGCTGCAGCTGCTGCTGCAGTTTCCCCACCAAGTCAGGGGCAGACCGCAGCATAGCCTCAATAGATGCAACAACAAATAGTGCCGTAGGAGATACGTGTCTGCTGCTGCTGCTGCTGCTGCTGCTGTTGCTGCTGCTGCTGCTGCTGCTGCTGGTGTTGCTGCTGGTGCTGCTGCTGCTGTTTGTCTCCTTTGCTGCACTTAATGCACAGGCAAAGGGACAACTTGCTGCTAGCAGCAGCAAATAACACAAAGAAAGAAAAGAGCCCCTCATCTCCATCATTAAACAAGAAGAATTATTTGCTTCTGCTGCTGCTGCTGCTGCTGGTGCTTCTGCTGTTCCTGCTGCTGCTTCTGCTGTTGCTTCTTGTCGTTTCTGCTGCTTATACTGTTCCTGCTGCTGCTGCTGCTGCTGCTGCTGCTTTTGTTTGTATCTTCCTCTGTACTGCTTGTAGGCAGCTGCAAGAAGGGAGGAGTAGACAGCAGGTAAGGAGGTAAATAAGAAGGAAAAAAAAGAATAAATAAATAAATATATAAAATAAATAAATAAAATAAATAAATAAATATAATAAATAAATAAATAAATACAAATATACATGGCAAAAAAAAGCAACAAAAAGAATTCTTTTTTATATAAGGAGGAGGAGGAGGGTCGCTCCCCTTCCTCCCCCCTTAGTAGGAAAGAAAAAAAGAAGAAAAAAAGAGGATAATACGTCCCTTAATAGCAAAATAAATTAATAAATAATATATAAAGGAATAAAAAGGAATAAAAAAGAGTAAAAAGGAGAAAAAAAGGAGGAAAAAAGGGGAAAAAAGAAGAAAAAAGGAGAAAAAGTTATTGAATTGACCATTGGTCACCAGCAGCAGCAAGAAATTCATTTTGCTTTTTTATGCATAAAAAAAGAAAAATAATTATTTATTTATTATTTTATTTATTATTTAATTAATAATTAATTAATTATTTTATTGTTAATAATAAAATATAATTCTTTTTTATTATTAATAAGGAAAAACAGGAAAAAAAGGCGAGAAAAATACCCCTCGTTGCTAAACCCTAGGGTTTATAATAAACCCTAAACCCTAAACCCTAAACCCTTCTTATCTGTCTTGCCGTATACATGCTGCATGCATGCAGTTGCTAACAAATGCAGTTTTTCTTGAGGTGTATGCACAGCCCATGCCTGCCTGCCTGTATATTTTTTGCTGCTGCTGCTGTTGCAGCAGCAGCAGCAGCAGCAGCAGCACAAAATGAGTGTCTCTGTTTCGTCTCCTTCTTCCCTATCTGTCTCCTTTCTATCTATCTGTCTCTTTTTTATCCCTATCTGTCTCCTTTTTCTCCTTATGTGTCTCCTTTTTCTTTATCATTATGTCTGCCTCCTCCCTACTAAATATCTTTGTCTCCTGTTGCTGTCTGCTTCTGACTAAACCCTAAACCCTAAACCCTAAACCCTAAATTCTGTCTGCCTCCTCCTGCATAGCTGCGGGTAACAGAGGGCAAGCAATACTTCAGCAGCAGCAACAGCAGCAACAGCAGCAACAGCAACACAGCAGCAGCAACAGCAGCAGAAGTATTCCCTCCAATTATGCACAATAAACAAAAAGAAGTCATATAACTACCAAGGAGAAAACTCCTAGAAGGCCGCTGCAGCAGCAGCCCCTGCTGCCGCTGCAGCAGCAGCAGCAGCAGCAGCAGCAGCAGCAGAAGCCGCTGCGGCTAGCGCAGCCTTCCCAGAAATAGAGATAAGGTGAAGCGAAAACAGTACACAAGAAAAGCAAAACCCTAAACCCTAAACCCTAAACCCTAAACCCTAATGCTAGCTCCTCTTAGCACCAAATTGTTTTCTTGCATAAAATAAATCGGACTTAGCACTCCCTAAGTTTACAATCTTTGGACATCCATCTCGCTGCAAACAAACCCATAAACCCTAAACCCTAAACCCTAAACCCTAAACCCTAAACCCTAAACCCTAGGTGGCTGTGAATTACATACATATAAAGCTGTCCCATATATATATTTTTTACATATATACACGTAATATATAGATAAATACATAAATAAATATACATATAAATATATACATATACACATATACAAGAAAGAAAGAAGTACACGAAATAAACTATCCTTGTGACCCCTCAATAGAATCGTCTCCTGAGGAGGAGTACGAAAAACAGCAGCAGCAACAGCAGCAACAGCAGCAACAGCAGAAAAAACAATTAATATAAAAATTTTCTTACATCTTTCTCCATTTGGCAACATTCCTTACAATAAAATGCATCCGATATCCCCATTCCTCCACATATTACACATTTTCCTTGAAAGGATCCAAAATTACATTCGTCACAAATACGTACTAATGTATGTGGACGTACGTAACTATCACATATTGGACATTTTCCATCACAACGCTCACATAAACGTCCAATTGCTGCATAATGGATAAATAAAAAACAAATATAATTTGATTAATTTATTAATTTATTAATTATTTATTATTCTACTAATTTATTCTGTGTTTTTATCTATTATATTCGTACATATTCATGTATAATAATCATGTAGTAACTATCACATATTGGACATTTTCCATCACAACGCTCACATAAACGTCCAATTGCTGCATAATGGATAAATAAAAAACAAATATAATTTGATTAATTTATTAATTTATTAATTATTTATTATTCTACTAATTTATTCTGTGTTTTTATCTATTATATTCGTACATATTCATGTATTATACAATTACTATCACATATTGGACATTTTCCATCACAATGCTCACATAAATGTCCAATTGCTCCACAATAGATAAATAAAAAACAAATATAATTAGATTAATTAATTAATTAATTAATTAATTAATTATTATTTTACTAGTTTATTCTGTTTTTTATCTATTATATTCGTGTCTATATTGTGCATATTCATGTATATATAATCATGTAGTAACTATCACATATTGGACATTTACCATCACAATGCTCACATAGACAGCCAATTATTGCATAAAGGATAAATAAAAAAAGAATTAATTAATTAATTAATTAATTTATTTATTTATTTATTATTTTAGTAGTTTTTTTTGTCTTTTTATCTATTATATTCGTGTTTATTGCATATATTTATCTATTTTATTCGTATTTATATTGTATATATTTATGTTTATAAGAAAAGGAGACACAGGAAAAGGAGACACTGCTGTTATTAATATAACAAGAAAAATAAATAATATAAATTAATTAATTTAATTTAATTAAATAAATTAAATAAATTAAATAAATAAATATAAATAAATAAGAGGAGGGAGGGGAGAGGAAAAGATGCAAAGATTTACCAATGCCTGGTTGCTTCCTACACATAATCAAATCGGGATCTGAATTCAACAAACAGCAGCAGCAGCAGCAGCAACAACAGCAGCAGCAGCAACAGCAGCAGCAGCAGCAACAGCAGCAGCACAGCATACAACAGGCATGGATGGATAAGTAATCAAAGGACGGGATCATTCAGGTAACTCGTATTGTACTCTTGCTGTTCCTGCTGCTGCTCCTGCTGCTGTTGCTGCTGTTGTTGCTGTTGTTGCTGTTCTTGCTGCTGCTGTTGTTGCTGCTGCTGCTGTTGCTGCTGCTTACGATGTTTAGCTGCCATTTTCTCCCGCTCCTAAAACAGCACGACTCGGACGTTGTAAGAGGAGGCGCCGTGGCGCTGCTGCTGCTGCTGCTGCTGCTGCAGCTGCTGCTGCTGCAGACGAGTTTAAATGGAGTAAAGAAAGAAGAAAACGAAGAAAACAACAGGAAAGACAACAAAGAGGCAATGTACTGAGCTGAATATACACCTGAGTGCAGCAGCAGCCGTGCAACAGGAGAAGGGGAGGAGGAAGGCACTGTTATAGTAAACTTCTTAGATGTTTTTTCGTATAATTTCTTGCTTATTAATTGAATAAGAAGATAAAGAATACATTTAGTAGGGAAATATAGCCGCAGCAACAGCAGCAGCAGCAGCAGCACGAGGAGCCCCAAGCCGCCTCTGCTGCTCCTACTGTTGCTAATAGTAGTTGCTCCTGCATGCAGGAGCAGTACTCGGGTAATATAGTAGATAAAAGGACGGTATAAAGGCTAAAAATATATATTTTTTAATGAATAAAAATAAAAATTAATAAAAAAAAGAATAAAATGAATAAAATAAAAGAAAAATAAATAAAAAAAAATAAGAAAATAAAAAGTGAGCCCAGAGCGACTCGAACGCCCAGCCTTCTGATCTGGAGTCAGACGCGCTACCATTGCGCCATAGGCCCCTATGTTTTTTTCTTCTTTTCTTTATTTTTTCTTTATATTTATATATATATTAAATTAATTATATATTATTAATTAATTAATTACTATTATTTTATTTCCTTTTTATCTATGTATAATAATAGTATAGGGGAAAATTCCTCTTATTTATTTCTTTATATACAATTTAATGCCTCTTTCTACCTCCTGCGGTGTACGATGAGCTATTATTAATACCTCTTCTCTTCTTCTTTTCTTTCTTTTTCCTGTCTTTGTTTGTTTTTCCTTCGTCTTATCTAAATAATAATTCTTTTATTCTTTCTATCCTTTTAAATAACATATCTATTACTTCATCCGTATAAGGACTGCCGCCTGGTCCTCGTGCTGCTGCTGCTCGTGCTCTTGCTGCTGCTGCTGCTGCTAATGCTGCAGCTGAAGCTAAGGCTGCTGCTGCTGTAGATCCAAAAGACGCAGCAGCAGCAGAAGATACATCGTTGCTGCTATCGACTTGCTGCTGTCTTCAGCTGTTCTCCCTGCAGCAGCAGCAGCAGCCATACTGGCTGATCCGCCAGTTGCTGCTGCTCTTGCTCCTTCTGCTGCTGCTGCAACTGCAGCAGCAGCAACAACAACAGCAGCAGCAGCAGCAAACAGTCTATGTGTAAGGCAGGAGGGGACACTTGACGATGGTGGGGGAGCGCAAGAGGCCCCCCCCTGTCTCCTTTCCTGTCCCTATACCTCCTTCCTTTGTCAACTCCTTTGCGCTCCCTGCTGCCAGCAGCAGCAGCGGCAGCAGCAACAGCAGCAGCAGCATAGCAGCAGGGGCCACAAGCTGCAGCTTCTCTCCATTCTCTTATGCGGAGCCCTTAGGTTATATCACGGAGACTGCGACACCCCTGGGCCCCCTGGGGGGCCCCCTGGGGGCCCCTGGGGCCCCCCTGGGGCCCCCTATGTTGTCCTTTGACAAGAGGCGGCGTCTCGATATTCCCACAGATGTGGGGCCCCCCGATGCTGCTGCTGCTGCTGCTTCTCCTGCTGCTGCTCCTGCTCCTGCTGCTGCTCCTGCTGCTGATAGTCTCCGTGAGAGTTTCTCTGCAGCAGAGAGCAGCAATCAGCAGCAAGAGAGGGGACTCTTGCGTAAACGCCGTCCCCTGCAGCGGCAGCCGTCCTCTCCTCCCGACGAACAGCAGCAGCAACAGCAGCAGCAGCAGCAGCAGCAGCAGCAGCAGGTGCATGCACAAGGCATAAGACCTGCGAAGGATCAGTTTGCTGTTGCTGCTGCTGTGCTGCAGTCCTTACCAATATGGCGTCGTCACCCTGAATCTCTTCCTGCCTTATTAAAGGCAGCAGCAGCAGCAGCAGCAGCCCGACGTATGGGTGCCCCCCAGGGCCCCCAAGGTGCCCAGGGGGCCCCGGGGGCCCCCATAAAAAAAGACCCTTTATTAGATGGAGACCCTTTTGCTGCAGCAACTATCCATTGGGAGTGTAAGAGGCAGGCTGTCTGTGTTAAGGCATTTAGGGGGGTGGGGCCCCACACCTGCTGCTGCTGCCGCTATTTCCCCTTACGTCTCCTTAATGAGGGGGCCCTAATGGGGGGCCCCCCTGGTTCTTCTAGTACCCGAAAGCAACGACAACAGCAGCAGCAGCAGCAGCAGCAGCAGCTAGTCTGCCCTAGGAGACTGCTGTTTGCTGCTTATGTCTATTTCTTACAGTTACCCTTCGCAGCAAACCCTAAACGTAATCGTACCCTCAAACCCTCTCCAGGGGGCCCCCAGGGGGGCCCCAAGGTCCCTGCTGCTACTGGTGGTGGTGCTGCAGCAGGAACAGGAGCAGCAGGAGCAGCAGGGGCAGCAGATAGGGATGTTTGCAACAGGCGAGCAGGCACGCACCAGAAGGGAGAAAAGGTACAGGGGAAAGAGGCAGGGGGATCTGTTCTTGCTGCAGAGGCCCTTGCTGCTGCTGCAGTTGCTGCTGCGTGTCATGCTGCTCCTGCAGTCAGAAGCAACGAACAGCAGCAGCAGCAGCAGCAAGAGCAACAGCAGCACCATGCTTCTGCTGGGAAGGCATCTGTGTTTCTCCTCTCTTGGTCATTCTCGCAGCAACAGCAGCAGCAGCAGAAACAGGAGCAAGAACCAGAGCAGCAGCAGCAGGAAGCAGCCATGGGGGCTGATGCTGCTGCTGCTGCTGCAGGAGCAGCAGCAGCCCCTTCTGGTGGTGGCCTTGGAGACGCTGCTGATATCCTCGCGGTGTCTCCTGTTGCTGCAGGCAATCCAAGGAGACTCACATGCAGGTAGGCCCTGCTCTCGCTGCTGCTCCTGCTGCTCTTGCTGCTGCTGCTGCAGCTGCTTTTGCCGCTTGCTGCCTGCAGCAAAAAGACCTTGAACGTTTGTGTATTTATCCTGTGCAGCAGTTGCTGCTGAGTTTCTTGCTGCAGCCGCTGCATGCCTGTTGCTGCTGCTGCTGCTGTTTGTTGTGTCTGTAGGCTTTGTGGGCAGCAGCAGGAGGGGACTGGTTTGCTGCAGGTGTCTCCTTTTGCTGCTCATTGTCTCCATCTGCAGACACATCATCCCTTCCTTGCCCCTCTCCTCTCTTTGCTGCTAGCAGTAGACCAGCAGCAACCTTCTGCTGCTGCTGCTGCGCCTGCTGCTGCTGCTGCTGCTGGGTCTGAAGGCAGCAGCAAGCCTACGTTAAAGGACCTGGCGATTGTGCTGCAGCAGCTCAGCAAACTCACCCCAGCCTGCTGCAGCTATGCGCAGCAGCAGCAGCAGCAAACGCAGCAGCAGCAGCAACAACAACATCTAGACCCGGGTTCATTTTCTGCTGCATGCACTGCTGCTGTGACATGGCTGCAGCAACAGCTGCAGCTACACACAGCACTGTCTCCTTACCCAAGGACATGCACAGCAGAGCAGCGGCTGCTGCTAGCAGCATTTGCTGCTGAGGAGATTAAGGTGTCTCCTTCGACCCCTGTTGCTGCTTCTGCTGGTGCTGCACGCCAAAGATCTGCTGCACCTTTAGTCCAGCAGCAGCAGCAGCAGCAGCAGCAGCAGTTGCAGCAACAGCAGCAGCAGCAGCTGCCGTTGCCGCCATCTGCTGCAGTGCGAGGAGAAACGACGTCTGCCCGTTTGTTGCAGGAGCAAGAATTGGTACACCTTTCTCTTTCCGTTGCTGCTGTTGCTGTTGCTGCTGCTGCTGCTGCTGCTGCGGTGAATACACATCTAGTTGGTACCGTACTGTGCTGTGTGGTCCCTGAGTCGCTGTTGCTGCTGCTGCGCTGCTGCTTGTGTCTCAGTGCTTGTCTCCCTGTGTGTATGTATGTGCTGTCTGCTGCAGACATTGCTGCGTTTGCTGCAGCAGGAGCAGCAGCATTTTGCTGCAGTTCCCTTTGAGGCCCCTGTGTTGCCTGTGCGTCGGGGTTTGCTGCGGGGGCCCCTTGGTCTTTGTGCTGCTGCAGCACCAACAGCAAAGTCTGCTGAATTTCTTATTGAGCATCTCCGTGCTGCAGCAGAGAGCAAGATGCTCGTCCCCTCTGTCTCTCAGGCCCTTTTTGCTGCTAAGCTGTGGGGCCCCACAGCAAGCAGCAGCAAACATAACTACCGGGGCAGAGGCTTACTCCTACAGCAGCAGCGGCTGCAGGTGCCGTTCCTGCGTCGTCTCCTCAGCGATGGCTGCCCACACTGCTGCAGCATGAACTGTTGCTGCAGCAGCAGCAGCAGCAAGGTAGGCACTGCAGCAGATCTGAAGCAGCAGCAGCAGCAGCAGCAGCAACGAGGGCCTTTTGCTGCTGCCATGCGGCGATTAAGTTGGTTTGAAGCCTTTTGTTTAATGCCGCAGCAGCTGAATTCTCTCCCTATTGAACGTCCAGCAGCAGCAGCAGCAGCAGCAGCAGCAGCGGGTAGTCGTCATCTCCTTGCTGTGCTGCTGCCGCCTATGGGGGGTCCCCCTCTAAGAAGAGACATATTAAATAGGGTGTCTCTGCAGGTAGGGAGAGAGGAGGCAGCAGCACATCCATTTGTCTCCTTCTTGCTGCAGAACGGAGACAGCAGCACGCCTAGCAGCATTAACTTCCTTACCATCTCCCTGCAACAGCAGCAGCCAGTTGCTGCTGCTTCTGCTGAGCTACGAGGGTTCCTTACTAACCAGACCAGCCCGCTGGTCGTCGAGCTGCTGCTTCCTCCGCCATCCTCTGCTGCAGCAGAAGTTGCCGCTGCAGCAGGAGATGTTGCTGCAGCAGCAGATGCTTCCTTTGCTGCAGCGGTGGCTGCTGTTGGCTCCTGCTACCGGCGATGCCTGCATGTGGTCGAGGCTGCTGCAGCTGCTATCTGCTGCAGCGAGGAGACAGCCTGCTGCAGCGAGGAGACAGCCTGCTGCAGTAAGGAGACACCTAAGGAAACAGTGAAGGCTTTGCTGCAGTATCTGCTGTCTCGCTTGGAGTGTCTCCGCTGCGGTGCTCAGAGCAGCAGGAGTCCCCCCTGCAGCAGTTGCTCCGTTGCATTGGAAGCTGCTGCTGCTGCTGCTGCTGCTGATGCTGCTGCTGCTGCTGAGCAAGCGCTTGTGCCTCGCGTCCTCGCCTTTCTCTCTGCTGCGCTGCTGCAGTTCTTGAGACAGTGGGAAGACGCAGGGGCAACTGCTGCAGCAAATGCAGATGCAGCAGCAGCAGCACCAGCAAGCGCACCAGCAGCAGCAGGTTTAGTAGAAGACGATACAACAGGTGCTGCCACAGATGCATCAAATGCAGCAGGAGGAGCAGCAACAGCAGAAACTGCAGCAAATGCAGCAGCAGCATCACCATCAGCAGCAGGATCACCATCACCATCACCATCATCAGCATCAGCATCATCATTAGGAGCAACAACAACAGCAGCAGCAGCAGAAATAAGAGGAGGAGATAGTATTAATATATATATAGATGAATTATATAGTGGTATATTAACAGATATACCTGTTGTGTCTCCTTCCTTACAGACAGAGTTTGTCTCCTTTGGAGGAATGCCTAATCCATGTGACGATACACAGACAGGTAATTTATTTTTTTTTTTTTTTTTTCCTCTTATTGCCTCCTGTATACGGTATACTTGTCTCCTTTTTTTTTTCTTATTGTCGACACTCAAATGGTATATTTGTCTCCTTTTTTTTTTCCTCTTACTGTCTCCTGTATACGGTATATTTGTCTCCTTTTTCTTCCTGTCTCCTTTATCTGTCTCCTTCTCCTTTAACTGTCTCCCTTCTCGTGCTGTGCTTACTCATGCTGTCTCCTTCTCTCTCTTGCTGCCTGTTGCTTACTCATGCTGTCTCCTTCTGTGTCCTGCAGTCTTCAGCTGTCCCTCTTCTTGTGTTTCCTTTGTTTGGCTCTATCTTCGTCCCTCATTCAAAGAACCTACTCTGTTGTTGTTGTTGCTGCTGCTGTTCTTGCTGTTGCTGCTGCTGTTGCTGCTGCTGCTGCAGGCCTGCTAATCCAAGCTACTCCCTTTGGTGCTCGTGTTGTTCGTGGTGTCCCCTTAATGAGTAGACATCAACTTCATAGAGTCTCCTTTCCTACTGATAGGCCCCTTGCTGCAGCAGAAGGAAGAGCAGGTGCTGCTGCTGCTTCTGGATGCAGTAGCAGCAGCAGCAGCATAAACAGCAATAGCGGCACCCGAAGAGCCGGCAGCAGCAGCAATCTTAACCATTACAGCAGCAACAGCAGTGGTAGTGCCAGCAGCCGAGCAGCAGCAGCAGCAGCAGCAGATGGCCTATCACCACATGCACAGTGGCATCTTCCATCGGATACAGCAGCAGCAGGAGCAGCTGCTGCTGCTGCTGAGATGCCGTCTGCTGGCCCTTGGCGGTCTGCTGCAGCTGCGGAGACACCTGAAGACGTGGGGTGGGATCGGGATCGTGTTGAGCAGCAACGGAATCGAGATGAGGATCCCGTCTCCTGGCAGACTGTAGATCTTTTTGCTTGGAGTCTACTTGATGAAAACGGTAACCTGTCTACTGCTGCTGCTGCTGCTGCAGTTGTAGTTGCTGCTGCAGTTGTTGCTGCAGTTGCTGGTGCTGTTGCTGTGTTTTTTTTTTTGGATGCTGCTGCTGCTGTCTTTGTTGCTGCTCTTGCTTTACGTGTCGGCGCTGCTGGTGGTGCTGTTTTTATTTTGGCGTTTGCTGCTGCTGCTGCTGCTGCTGCTGCTGTTTTGTTTAGGGGCTTCTGCTGAGGTGTCTCTGCAGCAGCGTCTGTCGAGGCCCTCCGCCCGTAAAAAGGGGGCCTTAAAACTGTCCCCTGTCGACTCCCCAGCCAACGCAGCAGCAGCAGCAGCAGAGCAGAGGGAGACAGCACGGGCACCTGAATCACCAACTGTTGCAGGCGAATCGAGGGCTGTGGAGACACCTGTAGCAGCAGCAGGACCATCATCAGCAAGACGAGCCGGTTTTGCTGCTGCTGCTGCTGCAATGTATCCTGAAGATCCCCCGCTGCAAGGAGACAGCAGCAGCAGGGTACTAGCAGCACCATGGCAAGCAGCAAGTGGTGCTGTATTAGAGGTTGCTGCAGGGGAGGCGCAAAGACGCCGATTGTCTCCTTTCTTTGGTCTCCTTATGGAGGTAAGGAAACTGTCTCCTTATTGTCTCCTTATTGTCTCCTTATTGTCTCCTAACTGTCTCCTAATTATCTCCTTATTGTCTCTTTTCTCTGTCTCCTAATTTTCTCTAAAGCGTCTCCTAAAGTGCCTCCTCTCCTCCTCCAACGCCTCTGCTGTGCTCCCAGCACGCCATTTGCTTGCCGCAGTATAGGGGACCTACGCAGCTAGCTAGCTAGCTAGCTAGCTACACAGCCTCGTCCTCTGTTTGTACACTGGCGTATTGATTAATTGCATGCAGCGGTTCCCCATTCGCAAGGAGTGCATTAATTCCTTATCTTCTGGTGCTGCTGTTGTGTTGATGCTGCTCCTGCTGCTGCTGCTGCTGCTGTGCTGCAGGAGAGCGGGTGTTTGCCAGAGTCTGCTGACATCCAGCAGCAGCGCAACGAATTATATTTCTTATATGATGCCCTCGACCGTCTGAGTGAGTGCACCCCTGCTGTTGTTGTTGTTGTTGTTGCTGCTGCTGCTGCTGCTGCTGCTGCTCGCATGCTGTTGCTGCTATTGCTGCTGCTGCTACTACTGCGGTGTTTGGTGTTGCAGGGGCGGCTCAGCTGCACGAAAGCCCATCAAAGGCAACTCAACTCGCAGCGCGGCAAAAGTGTCTCCGCATCGCCCGCTCTGCAGTGCACGGGTATACTTCCTGCTGCTGCTGCTGCTGTTGTCTGCTGCTCTTGCTGTTGGGAATGCGTGTGATGGCGCTGATGCTTTTGGTTATGCTAGTGCTGTGCTGCTGATGCAGCTCACGGTGCTGCCGCTGTTGCTACTAGTGCATGCAATTTTCAGCAGGAGGCAAGGGGGGTTGTCGGTTGCTGTTCTTGTTGCTGCTGCTGCTGCTACTGCTGCTGCTGCAGGTGGGGTGTCTTTGCTGGAGAGCCCATAAGGCGAGGGGAGTTTATAGTTGAGTATGCGGGAAATGCTGTCTCGGAAGCAAAGGCGAACTTCTTGTAAGAACCTTTTTGGGGCTGGCACTGCATGGATGGATGCATGCATAATAATGCATGCATCCATCCATGCATGCGTATGCATTGATCCATGCATTGTTGTGTTTATTTGTGTGTTGTCTTATTGTTTTATTTGTTGTTGTTGTGTGTGCGTGTGTGTTAATAAGGGTGGGGTTGTTCTGCTTGTTGTTATATTTGTCATTGTGTATGTTGTTATGTGTAGGCGTGTTAATATTGGTGGGGTTGTTATGTTATATTATGTGTTAATAAGGGTGGGGTTGTAGTTCTTCTTATTAAGCAATATTATATATATACACATATACATATACATATATTATATATTATATAACACATATAATATAACATATATGTATATGTATATGTATATGTATATGTATATGTATATGTATATGTATATGTATATC